CTCTCTCTATACACACATACACACGCGCGCGCGCGCTGTGTTATCCGGCTTCTGTGTGGAATGGGGAGTGCCGATTAATCAAATATGCCGGTTATCTGAGAGGTGTCTTTGCTTGTTTGGGCTGCTGCCACATCTGGTGCACCAGGACTTTCGCTGCTTTGCCCCGGACCATGGTCCAAAGTCAGCAAAGTGGGACTCTGAAACCAGAAGTGTCACGGTGGGACTTCCAGTTTCGCTTTTGCTGTGTCGATTGGCATACCAGTTAATTAAGTGCCGGATAACACAGCTTTTACTGTATTTATAATAGTTTACCAACACTGGGACTTCAGGTGAATTGCAGATAAATACAGATAAATAATAGAAAAAGGGCCCCAGCAGGCCCTAATAAGGATCATATAGTTAAAACTCTCTTAAACTATAAACTTAAAACTATAAAGGTACACGATTCTAATATTATAAAAACTGTACTCTGTTTGTCCATAACGCTTTATTTGCATTCTGGCTGACAAAAAACAACCAGTCAGAGTGCAAATACAGTGCCGCCATGATGGTGGGGACAGGGGATGGAGGGAGGTGACGGCAGTGGAGCAGATGGAACTGGCCTCGTTTCTCTCTCCCTTTCCCTCCCACCCCCCTTGCTCCTTGGAGGTGGTGGCAGTGGTGTGGGGGGGAGCAGGGTCAGAACTCCACAAGGCGCTGCTGGCCTTGCCCTGCCCCCTCTGCAAGAAGCACTTCCGGGTCCACTGCGGGGCGAGCAGGGACCCGCTCCCCTGGCTCGACAACTGGTGCCTTCTGGGTCTTGCCTCCTGGGGGCCCCCCACGTACTTGGCAGTGGACCTGGAAGTGGACAGAAGTACTTCTGGTCCACTTTCAGGTCCGCTGCTGAGCACACCAGGGGCCCCGCCTGCACTCCTGTGGGATGCTCCATCCCCCCCACCATCCAGTGTTCACAAGCCACACCTGGTACCTTGAGGTATGTAGAAAAAAACATATAAAGCTGTGTCTATGGCTAAATTGCTGATTCTCCGAATCAGAATTGAGTCTTCAGATTCGGATTCGGCTGAATCGAATCGGGACAGTGATTTGAATCAGCAAATTGAATCGCTGTCCCCTGAATCGGGCCAAATCCGAATAGAGTACAGCCCACTTTGCACACCCTTAATATATATTAGTGTGTGCGTGCCTATCAACTATGGATATCATCTATCCAATCTTATACCACCCTTCAAGATATAGATAATTATTAAAATGCATTTCTAACCTGGGTTTCAACAGGTGTCATACAACCTTAAATTCTATTAAGATCTAAATTCACATTCAAGATCAGATGTAAACATACAGATATATGCACTCTAACAAATACTTATCCCAACAAGATCAGATTAAAGATTTCAGTACATTTCAAATAATCTTAAGCTTTATCGATTTATACTTAATAACATGACTATAAGGTGCCTACTCACGAAATATGAGGCACAAAACCTTAGAATATAAACCAGATTTTCAAAGAACCCTAAGACACCCAGACTCTTCTGGAGCCTTGGCTGCATTCCTGTGACCGCGAGGGGAGGAAGATGCTTCCCCAGTGCCCTTCCGGCTCCTCAGCCCAGCCAAAATATACCTTAACAAAATGAGACTCCAAACTCAGGAACCCTGTCCTTCTGGGCTTTCCCTCCAGTGGTCAGCTCTACAGACCCGGGTGAATTCCCCTTCCCCAGGAACTCACAGCTCCAAGAAGCCAGGTGGATGGTCCTCGTCTCCCAGTGAATTGTGGCCTCTCTTGCTGAGACCCCAGCTGTCTGGCTTCCTCTGGGCCACTGACCTGCTAAGGGCCCTGTGCACCCTGGCGTACACTGAGGGCTGTACCCTTCTGCTTGGGGTTGGGGCCCCGAGCTGCCCACACAGTTCCAGGGTCCCAGTTCTGATCAGGGCCCTTCGTGCAGCACTTCAGCTCTGAATGCCTGGTCTCGTGCCAGGGGGTTGTAGGCCCGAGCTGCCCCATGCAGCTCCCAGGGCCTGGGTCCAGTCCTGGGCCCTCTGTGCAGCACAGAGTCAGCCTCATGCCAGGAGTTGGAAACCCGAGCTGCCTCATAGGACTCCAGAATCCCGGTCTGCTCCCAGATCCTCCGTGCAGTGCCTCCCGCACCGAGCCTCCCTAGCCTTGTGCCAGGGGCAGGAGACCCGAGCCGCCTTATACAGCTCCCAGGGTACAGGCCATGCACCATCTAGCTGGAGACCCGAGCTGCCTCATATGACTCCCAGGGTCCCACTCCGTGCACAGCTTGTGTACGGTGCCTCTGACTGCACACCAGGGACCAAGAGACCCGAGCTGCCTCATACAGCTCCCAGGCAATGGGAAGGAGTCTTTGGACTCTTCTGGGGGCAACCACATTTGCCCTGCTGGGCATCTCTCCCCAGCTTATCTTCTGCCCGCTCTCATCTCTGTCCCTCCACACAGGGTGTCTGTGTGCTGGGCATGCTGTTCTTTTATAGCCTTCAGAGGTTCTGCCCCCGGATTGCAAAAGGACCAATCAGGGGGAGAGGAAGTATAGCCCTCACTCAGGTTCAGGCTCTTTGCCTTGCCCCAAGCAGGGGCGGGGCAGCCTCTCCACCACCACCACCTGATTGGTGGGAATGTCCCACCAATGGCTCAAAGGAGCCGGCAAGCCGGGCTGCTGCCTGCCACGTTGGAAGAATTTAGAAAGTTTTGATTGAAAATGCGATAAAGAAATATTCATGTAATGTTAAAGAAGACCTGTAAAGAAAGAAAATTTACTTTTTGCTTTTATATACAAGAAGGTTTGAAGGTTTTTTTTTCTCCTAGAAAAAGTTATCTAACAGCAGAAGTTCAATTTTGAATGGTCTGGTTACTAGAGAACTATCAAAATTGTGACATCACAAGCAAATGAAAGAGGGGAAGGGTCTTCTAGTCAAACTTTCACATGCTATGTTTGTACTTTATGCAGTTGTAACTAATATATATTATTTTTTTAATTAATTAATTTATTTAAGACATCCAGAGTAATTTTTAAGACATCCTTATCCCATGAACAGGAATTCTCAAACTAACAAGGGTCTGCAACCAGACTTGACTTTCTCACATCTTTGTAAACAAAACAAGTAAACTTCTGAAGGTGGGGATATGTTTTCAGAAAGATGTAATTATTTCAGCTGGTGTGCCACTTAATGAATTTTGGTGACCTGTTAAGGGCTGCACATACAGTATTTGAGAAGAGATCATTTTAATAAATTACAGATAAAAAGCAAATCCTATACTAAAAATCAAAATCTACTATAACACATTTTGATTATATTTTTAAAAAGTACTTTTTGTCCTGATTTGTGGGTTTTTTTGAGTAGTGTATATAGAGGCAATTGCATAATAGGTCAGAGTAAACTCCTACTCTTGTATAGTGTGGGGTGGGGGATTGATTGCCCATGCACTAGGCCCCAGGAGCGGGCTGGCCAGAAGAGGCCGGGGGGGCGGGGTGCAGGCAGCATGTGCAGCAGAGCTCACCTGGGCACTGCAGGAGCGGTTTGTCCGTTTTCCCTGTCCGTTCCTCATTCAGTCTATGGTGTTGGGGCTGAACCCTGCCCTGGGCAGCCTGTGCCACGCTCCTGGCCACACCTGCCCCATGCTTGGTGACAGCAGCATCCCAGCCAGCATGTACAGCTTCTCAGCCGGGCTGTTTCTGCTGTTGCTCCAGTACTGCTCAACTCCACCTCCAGTGGCTTCTCCTCCTGCCCCTACTATGCCACTCTAGCTCCCTTCTACCCACTCAACTGCCTGCAGGCAGCTGCTCATTTTGCCAGGTATCAGAGTGGATGCAAGGTATATGGGAGCTAGAGTCTGGCATGCAAAGAGACTCTGGGGAGGGGACATGGTAAGTGTTTACAGAATATTAAGTGGTGAAGAGAAACTAAATAGGGATTTATTACTATCTCTCTCAATCTAAGAACCTAGGGGTCACAAAATGAAACTAGTGTAGGTAGTGAGTTTAAAGCTAAAAAAAGGAAGCTTTTTCACACACTGTGGTGTTTAAGTGTGGAGCTCATTGCCACTAGGTGTTGTGGAAGCTGACAGTTTAGCCAGTTTCAAAAAGGGATTGGACAAATTCTTGGTGGAAATGAGCATCAGTGGCTATTAAGCATGGGGATGAGGGGCATAGCTTCTAAATCAGAACTTTCTAGACCTTAAATCCTAGAGGCCACAAGGGAGAGAGGAACAATGGAAAAAACCCTAGTCATACCTAGTTCACTCTCCCTTTCAGCATACACTTTCTACCAATGTGTGACACAGGAGACTGGGCAAGATGGGCCCTATGGTCTGACCCTGTAAATGGCTGGTTTTTTGTTCATAACATTGGCCTTTTAGAATTTTTTCTTTTAGTTTAATATCAGACCTTAATTTGGGGTACAATTTAATGTATTCAGAATTAATAAGCATTATTCAGGGCCCTGCTAATTTGTATGCATTGCCATTAAGATTCAGGATTACTGATTTTTATTTAAAATTATTATTTAATAATTATTAGTTATTCTGTTCTGGTTTATTATTTCTGGTAATAAGACAAAGTACAGGGTTATATGGGTGGAAGGAATTTACTTTTTGTTGTATTTCCAGACCTTTGCAACATATGTGAATGAGGGAGTAGTGCCCAGTTGGATTTCTGTTCACCTCTGTACTTTTAACCGTAAATATTCCCACTGAAGGTTTTTGATGTCAACATACACCAACACGTTATGTCAGTGTTCAGAGGTAAAAATGAGAATTGTATCACTAAAAAGTTTGGATTGCAAATTAGTTTCTAAGGATGGATAAACAGTGTTGCAGTATTTTGGACACCCTTCATTGACAATGATTAGGGATAATCTTGGACTTTGCACCTGTAGTTCTGCTGGCTCACTGATGTGTAATGATTGTTAATGTGTTATAGTAATTCCTTAATAAAACCCAATGTTGGAATACCCTGTTAACAGTTTAACTTTGGTATTTTTAGGCTAGACAGCAGCAAGCAGAACTGGCCCAGCAAGAATGGCTACAGATGCAACAAGCAGCCCAGCAAGCACAGCTTGCTGCTGCCTCAGCCAGTGCATCCAATCAGGCAGGATCCTCTCAGGATGAAGATGATGAAGATGACATTTGAAATTTACCAGCTGAGTTTCTATCCCCACTAAGAAATACTTTTCCTGCACAAAAAAAAACAGTGAAATGAATGCTTACCTGTAATTTTGTATGCATCTTGGACTGGTCATTGGTATTCTAGGGATGTCTGCTGTTGTGTGCTGTACATGTAAAAACTGTCTTTTTGAACTCTTGAAGAGTTAAGGTTCAGTATCATATCAACTTTGGATTTTTAATGGTGTATATGGAAATTTTAGATAGCAGTGCGTCATTTATTTGATCAACAAACAGTGTTAAAATAAACAACAAGTTTATAAAATATAGTGAGATTTATACAGAAGCTCTAAATCCACATTTGCATTTCTTCCCTTTTAACTAAACTGTAAAATCTTACATAGAGAATTTTTAATTGTTTTTTGTTTTTGGTTTCTTTTTGTGAGGGAGTGGTACAGTTGACACTCTGTTTATGGGGGGAAAAAGCAAAGAGTTCAGTATAGCAAAGTCTGGATTCTTTGTCCTTTTTAAAATGAGGATATATATGGCAATAAATATTATGTGCTCAAATACCACATTTGTTACAAATTTGCAAGTGATATGTTTTCACCAACCTAGGGAAAGGTATGTTTAATAAAAGTTGTATACATTCAATCTTTTTTTGTATAAAGGTGAAGAAAATAAACCCATGGTTTTACTATGACATCTATTGAGAGTCCTGAACTAAATGACTATTTCATTTAAAAAAAATGCCCAGTTTAGAGAATTAATGATTCGTGTTATTTCACTCCAATTCACTGTTAACTGTTGTTGATGGTATTACTTGCATAGTCCAGATATGTTCATATCATTCAACTGTAAAGTTGGAATTTGGTGAAACAATTGTTTTAGTTCCGTTGACTTTACTGGGAATGATTTAAGTATTCAAGCCTGTGAAGGCAAAAGTCAAAGTGAAAAGCATGCTTGCGGTAAGAGGGATTTCATTTAACCCTTGGTTTGTCATTGTTGTCAGCATAATGTTAACATTTTCCGGACTAGGTTACCAATGGATTACTAAGATACCTGGTGAAAGATGACATTTTCTTCATTAAAATTGGTTAGTTGCAAATTATTCAGGTCCAGGATTAGTTAAGAAAGCATGCCCCAAGCTTTGTCAGCAGAGCATGGTAGAGAAAAGAGAAAGTAGTCCTTCTGATGGGCTTACTTCAAAAGTTATGTTTATATTAATGGATGGACAACTGTTCTTTGTGTTGAAATAAAGCACAGTGTTGTCCATGAGAGAATTTTAATGTGTCACTTGAAGAAATATTGGCATATCTTCTGGTACACCTTTTTTTGAACAGACTGGAAGAGCCACTTGCATACTAGTATAGATGAAGAGATCAAGTAGCCATATAAGACTGTGTTGTGGTGTTTTTTTTGTTTGTTTGCTTTTTTAAAAAGTAGTATGCCTTCAAATAATTCTCATCAAAGTTGACTGAACTGTGGGTGCAGCAGGCTGTTTACATAATGATGCGAACAGTGATGTGCCCATTTTTAAGTACAATTGGGATATATTCAGATCACAACGAATCACACAATGGCTTTTGATTTAAACGTTAGAGAAGTTAAGTTACATATTGAATAAATTTGAACACTTCCTAAATGCAGTCGTGGCTCGGAAAGGAAAGATAAGTTTGAATGTTTAAGTTAAAAAACAAACAAACAAAGAATGTTCATGGCTATTACATGAAATATTGGACAAGGTTTAACTAAGGGAAGTGCTTTTCTGTAAAGGTTTAAGTACCAAAGGTAGTAAATCTAGTCTAGTGAAGCAATGTTAATGTGCAGTGTTGGCTTTTCTAATTTGTACTGTAACACCTCTACACTTTCTATTTTAAATTAGTTTTTTCCTTAAAAAAAAAAAAAAGAAAAAAAAAAAAAGTATATTTTCACACTTTTGTTTCTTCTGATGCAGAATTCAGGTTAACATTTTACTGCATCTGGTATGTATGGTATAATATGTTTGGATCCTTGTGAGCTTTCTTTCCTTTGGACATCCTTGTGCTTTTTCATATGCTGTATTCTTCAAGCAATAAAATTCTGATGTGTTTTTATAAAATGGTTTTATAGTTAATGTTGAACAGCCAGTTTTTTTCATTTGTAATGAGTTAAATAGTTTTAAAATTTCCTCTTTATGTGCTGTTGCCATGTTGGCCATTTGCAGGGGTTTGGGTTTTTTTGGTTGATACTGTCTGAATTTTGCTATATGATACGGTCACTAGGGCCAATTATTACAATAGTGTATTTCTCTTAGTCCTGTTGACTTTCCTTCCTGGAAGTGCATTCTGCCTATTTGCAATATATGCATTTTTGTGAATTGCACAAACTCATATTTAAAAACTATACATCCAGCCTTTTAGAACTAGAGGCAGAGTCTTAAGTGTTTGGGTCAGATAAAAGTGACTTATTTAAACTGTCAGAATTTCATGGTAAAGAAACTTCTAGTGTGACATTTAATTTGCCATCTAGCCACTTTGAGTTTATTGCCTTTTTATAGTACAATCCTCTATTGGGTGAGTGGCTGCTAAGGTAAAGCTGTTTCTAGAGCTATAGTAATATTGATAGTCAATACACAGAAGGAACAGGTGACTAAGACAATATAGAAACAAGTTTGGTTAGCGAATAAGATGTTATTACTTCTGTTTTAATTTGAAAGATGTGTATGCAGAAATCAGTGCTATCCCAATGAAAGAGGACTAGCCCAAAAATATTGCAAATAAGGTAATTTACAAAAAGCTGTTATGCAACCTAAATACTTGTGGAATACTCAACTCTTTCTGCTACTCCAAATTAGGATTATATATTCTGGATCCAAAGCACATTTGAGGAGAAGTACAACTTTAAATTACTGGATTGAAAATTGTTTACCTAATATAAGGCTTTGTCACTCTTAAAGGTAACATCCATTTTAAAAAGAGAGAGAAGCAACTACAGTAAAAGCTGCGTTAACCGGCATTTTAGTAACCAGTACACTCTACTAACCGGAATTTCCAGCTGGACGTGGGGGAGGGGGGTGAGAAGCTTGCACGTGGTGGTGCCGGCTGCCACCCATCACCCTGCGCTACTGCTGCTCCGCATGCGGCCAAAAACCCCTGCCTCGGGTAACTGGCATTTTTAGATTGCTGGCACTCCCCATTTCCCACTCATGCCAAATAACAGAGCTTTTACTGTGTAAGGGAAGGTTTTTGAGTGGGTAGGTAACATTATTTGAAGCTTCACATAACAATACGAAGCTATTTGGTTTCAGAACACATTCGCTGCCTGTGAACTTTCAGTATACCTGTTGTGGAGTTTGAGGAAAGCTGGTTTTCATAATTTCAATTAAGCATGTGTGCGGCACATGGGCACTATCCTAGTAGAATGTTTTTAGTAAACGGCCTTGGGTAAAAAAAGGCATGGTGGTAGGTTTTAAAATGTTTCATTAAATTGAGGCTGTGATCATAATCTGGTGCACAATTGCACCTTCATAGATGATTATGTTCAGTTTGCTTTATTTAATAAGCTTTTCTGATACTTTTCTCTTAATGTAACAGAACCATCTCAGGTACAGACATGAGATGAATTCTGCTTGGAGTCAGGTATCAGCCACAGAATTAGTTGCATCCCACTTCTCTGTCTGTGGGGAGATGATGAAAGCAATCAGAGTTAATGCTGGTAGAAATACCACCAGGAAGAAATCACTTGGGGAAGATGGTTCTACAGTGGGGTCCACTGATCTGTGCAGTTTCAATTCACATCACAGTACAGACATTTAACCAATAATAGTACAAATCAAAGTGGAATCAGCGGTGAGTCTCAGTGCATCTCCCTAGACATGAATACACAGAGGGCATTTTAACTTTAAATTATTATGTACAGTTAATTGTAGAAAGTTGTCCATCCTTTACTTTAAACGTTTTCAAGTTTTGAGTATGGACAGCTACTATAACTAGGCACCTCCACATATATATTGGTTATATTTATGATAAAGCTATCATGAATCAGTCTGATACCCAGTTTTGTTTCCTGTGCAATTTTTACTGTTCTGTCCTCTGCCTACTGAAGTAGTCCAAGTGAGGCCACTCCTCACTGTTGAGCAACTTCAAACAGCTCTTTGCTTTAAAAAATAAAAAAATAACAACAAAAATAACCTGTCAATAAACACTTTTCTTCCCTTCATCCTTAGCAACACAAATATTAGACTGACTTAAGCAATATATATATATCACTGATTAAGCTTTTAGGACTGATCATGTGAAGTAGCCAGAAGCTGTAAGGGAACTTGAGGTGCTGATGTAACAAGTACCCTTCCACCTCATAATGTTTATGTGCCTACAAATGTGTGCTCAGTGACCTGCATCTATATCTCTCCTCCCTCTCCATTAATTTCTAACAAATTTAAATTGGTCAGACAGGCTATAAGGATAGGGTGCTAATGTCCACTTGTTCCTATGCCATTCAAAGGCCTGAGAAAATCAGCCTTAACTTCAGTTAATTGAAGGCTGGAATCCTGTGAGGTGCTGTGTCCTTTATGATTACTGAAGTCAGTGGAGCTGAGGAATGATGAACATCTTTCAGGATAAAGACCCTACATTTCATTATACACTTGAATTAGTTACTTCCCCCGTAACTGCTTTATTTTATTTATTTATTTATTTATGTATGTACGTGTTTATAAATAAATACAAGATATTAAAACTTTTTATGGCTATAATAGAGGCAGCAAATATTTATTTTGCAGTTACTCAAATATATTATCACCTGCTTTTAAATAAGTTGTATAACTATTGCTTAGGTATGGGAGATAGCTGACGTAGCAAAAGTTGTAGTAAATTTTTCTGGAGACTAAATATTTCTGTAAAGAAATCTTGTGTGCAGAATAGAGTGAAAAAACTGGGTTAGAAATGGAAGGCTAGATTCACAGCTGTCTGACACCTTTTTGTTGTTGTAGTTGAAGAACACAGTCATCATGAGGGACCCAACTCTGCTGACTTTGTGGCAAAAGGCATGTTGGTGGGTTCAAAGTAGAGATAAAGGGGTGGATGTCTGGATGGTTTTGTGCTGCCATGGTTCAAACAAACCCACAGTAAGATACCTGTAAGTTAAGGTAGGGATTGGTATTTTTTTTTTTTGCAACAATGGACTGAATTAGCTCAGCCCTAAAGAGAGCCTTTGCTTGCCACTTGGCTCCTGCTGCTTCCATTGTCAACATGGGTGGATCTAGAGTTTTGAAAAATGAGGTGCATTATCACATATAAAACAACACATTTTTCTCTAGGTAAAAATAAACTAGAAGCTTTACTAATATGCTAGGGCTGTACTGATGCACAAAGAAATTAACTTCGTTGGAATGAGTAAAGAACAGTCTGTGCAGCTGTGAAATAGAAGCTTCATTACCAAGAACAGCTCCCCAACAGCAAAATTGCAGAACAAAGGATAGCGTGATTGGTGGAACATCAAGACCTTAAAGAAGAGAGGTTTGTTAACATCTGTGGAATGAAGAGTTTAGAAGAGATCAGGTAGATTACAATGAGCCATAAAGTCAATTGACTCTCAGCACTACCTGGCTATAAATGCTGTTGCCATTGCCAAGCAGTTAGTTTAAAACTTTTGGTGGAACAGGGATCAAAGAGGTGCAAGTGCACCGCACCACCCCACATCTGCCTGATTGCCAATGATTGTCCAATACTGCCAACCCCCATGATGTACCTCCTTCCTATCCCCACCACAGTTACCACAGGCTACCATATACGACTGCAGGCTGGATCCATCCCAGAGGCCATGGGGTGCTAACTCCTGAGTTAAGGCATTCCCTCAGAGCTATACTGGCCTACTTTAATGGATGGTGCTGGGTAAACCAGATACTAGAGCCCTATGAATTGGAGCCTCTTCCTCTGTGGCCTGCCCTGTTGATATTTTTGCTCTCTTAACTGACAAGGCTACTAATTCTTATGGAGAAACAAATTGCCAAATGAAAGACTATTTTTGACTGGCACAACAGCTTGTTATATTGGAGCAGAATTGTGTGGCAATGAGTGGCATTTGCAATTGCTATATCCATTCATGGGGGAACTTTCACTGCATTTAAGATATCCAGTTGGATATTAGCTTGGTATCATTGGTAATATCTTCAGAGCACCTTACAAGCATTAATTGGTCTTAAGAAATGTGTATCCTGCCTGGCATAACAACATCAGTATACGTTCACTTGCAATTAAACTTTCATGTTGACACAGGTTAATAAACTAAAAGGTAGTTTAGTAGCACTGTGTAGAAGTTAAAGATGTTATCCGCATCTCAAGCTGGCAGGCTGACTCATCCAAAAAGCAATGCAAAAAAACCCAACTTCCATCTGAATAAAGCATGTAAAATCTTAAGAAACTCTTTAAACTATAAATTCTCTAGGGCAGGGACTATCTGGAATAACTTCAGTATTGAGCAACTTTGTGGCAGTTGTTCTCAACATTTTTTTTTTTAGACTAAAGGCATACTTTAGAAAATGTCAGCTCTTAATTTTCACCATATTTTTTACTACAGAAAAATGCCATATTTACCCAAATATAAGATTACCCTAAATGTAAGATGACCCCCCAATAATTAGATTCTACACATGGAAAATTTGTTAAATTGTTATAATTTTCCATGTCTGCAATATAATTATTGGAGGATCATCTTAAATTCATCCCTCCCTGCCCCACTTGTGCATGTTGGGGGCAGGGGGAGAGAGGTGATGAGGGGGCAGTAATGGGACAGACATTGAGGAGACAGTAGGGAGAGCATGTGGTAAGGCCAGTGCGGGGACAGTAATGGGGCAGGTAGAGGGGATGGTGGAGGCAGGCAGCTTGCTCTCTGTTGCCTGCTCCCCACCCAGCCTCAGGCTACCCCAAATCCCCCTACCTCTGTTCCCTCCCCCGCTCCATACCGCTCCTGCCTCCTGTCTCCCCTCCCCCTTCAGGCCCCCCCTTACATTTGCTCTGTGCTGGCTGACTCTGTCCCTGCTGCAGCCTTGAGGCACAGGGCATATCTAGTCCTGTAGCAGGGAGCCAGCACTGTTGCTGCAGGGCTGAACAGAAGCAGCAGTG